GGTCCCGATCCTCTACGGCCTATTCTTAGTCGTCCCAGGATAATCGTGTTGTCCTATGCTATGAATCCCTGTCCCGGCCCATCCGACCTCTATTAGTGAACCCTCGGCGTCACCTGTGCACTTTCAAAATCGCCGAAAGCTTGTTTCACAGTGTAGTGATCCTCTGCCTGTCGGCCCTGTACAGTGGCGCTAACGACCGTTCCTCAAGTGAGACCATTGAAATCACTGCCAGTACGCTACACGTCTGTGAATGCTACAAGACGTTCGACAGATGGATATCTAATGTCAAGCGGCAGGCATCTTTACAGATCGATGGTGCCAGCTCACCCATAATATAACGGTGTAGCCCGTTACATGAGATTGTCATTAAAACAATCTGACAATTAAGAATATTATGTCAAATATTCTTTTAACAATATCACAAGACATGGTGGTATTGTTTGGATGACCGAAGGGTCTACTCATTAGTTGATATCGTGATGATATCAACCCACCAATCGCTGCTAGACGCGCGCAATGGGTGGTGAGTAGACGTCATCATACATTTCGATAAATTGGTATAATTAAGTCAGGACAACAGAGATTCAAGGAGTTACAGTACTTAATTATATTAATACAGTTTTACTTTTACCAAGAGACTAGTCTGACTACTTAGTCTCTTTTTCTTCCTCTGTGTTTTCCTTAAAACACCTAGCAGGGCACTGTCGACCACTGTCGTCAGTAGAAGTATACTCCGTACTGGTCAACCAGTACGTAGTCAACAGTGCCCCGTTACACTTGGTTTGTAGCTAGTTAGCCCAGGCATTCCTAGGATGACGTCGCAATTTTCATCCAATTTCAGTATGATGAAGACTTTATCATGCTGTTCGCCTTTAAATGTGTAGTGGATTTCAATTAAACGATTTGCAAAAGTGATCGATGCGCATATCGATAGGCGCGCACCGTCATTCTCGGCTAAGGTATATGTTCCTCGACAAAGTTGGATCTACCAGCCTCTAGTAACTGACAAGCAACAAAGTTTTTCTTCGCGCACAGTCAACCAGGGCGCGAAGTGACGAGTCCTTTGTCAATTCAAACGACAAGATGATGAGACATACCTCATCCCAAGATGAAAATACAGACAGAGACTTCGTGTCGGAAGTAAATTTCGTCAAGCGATTTGCCAATTCTCTTTATGCTGCTGTATCAGTAGGGCACTTTGCCCCTACAGACCCCGTACATTGTTTATGGTCCACTTCGCTGTTGCGGCTTTTTATTTGCGCTGGACCTACTCTCCTAGCCGTTCTTGGCGAATGGTAGATCGTTTTGTTCAGTACTAGTTAGTACTGGGCGAGAGGCACTACACTCGTAAGCCTGGTGTCCTAACTTCTGACAGCGATTGCACTTCTGCAATAGCTTGTTTTTTTGCATAGCGAGGCCTCTCGATCTCAATATAACAGAGGTGCATCGGTTCTATACCTCCATTCTCTTGTCGTCTTGGTGGACGATAGAGATTGAGCTGACATGAGCCTGTATCATGCTAAAGTCCTCAATTCCGCAGCTGAGATTTCTTGTTCAAGCGTATCCAGATCGAGGCGGAACACGTGGTTCCTGACGGGTCCATCTTCGAGTCCTTGCATAAACCCAGTAATAAACGTGTGTTCATGAACTGTGTAACCAGTTATACTACTCGCGAGGAGTCGTATATGCTGGGCGTAATTGTGCATATCACTATTACCCTGCTTGAGTTTTAGGAGATCTCGTCGATTTCTAAACTCATCCCGTGGCAGTTCAAAAGTTTGTTTGAGCCGGATCTTAAAGGCTTCTAGCGACTGAATAGAGTATAAGTCGCTCATCTCCAGCCCTAGCACAAATCTTGGCACGTCCTGCCAAGTGGGTTTGAGCAAATGTGAGTTTAATTTGCTCATCGTCGATTCGATGTGTCTTTATGGCTTAAACTAGTTCGACGAACCATACCAACAGGGATTCTACCTCGACTTCTCTCTGCTTACAATATTAACCTTTAAAAATTTAAATCGACGCGTGTGTGTTGCCCCGCCCACATCAGCATCGTATTACTGCTGTTTTAATAGCTCTGTCTGTTGAGCTCCGAGTTCTTTAAAGTGCTCGGTATATTTAAAGACTTGTTGATGAAGCAAGACTAATTCCATCTCTCAGCGACAAGTTGATTTTGACTAAGCCTGGCTATAGCGGCATGTTGTTAGTCTCTTTCCTGAGGCTCCAACATGGCGCTAATCGCGATTTTGCCTACTAGAGGTCCCATGCGTATTACCGCTCTCCACTCGATATCACTTAAACGATTAAAGCACTCAAATATGGAGTAAAGCTTTTCTTTTTATCGAACATGTTCATGTTAGAAGAGGTAGTTATGGTCGAGAGACGGACGACATAGTGCTACTAGGTGTAACAGGGCACGCTTTTTACCAGATGACTGGCAAGACTTTTTGTTAATGGAACACAAGGCTGCGTTCTACCGATTTTACGTACACGTGGCGAGGAATCGCAACCGGAGTAAAAATAACTCGAAAGGCTTTGTCTGAGAAAAAGTTAGAACTATTTAATATAGTCGTTTTACTTTTAATAAACAATCTTTGGCTTGATTCAACCATATTAAACTACAATCTCCTATGTGAATTTCTTGCTCGCCACCCATTGCGGGCATTCAGCAGCGATAGGTGGTTAATCTGGTTGATGCACCGTGTTCATCAACCATTTCAGTGGAGCATCCAAAGAATGTTGCACTCGAGAATAACATTCCGTCAACATCAACATCATCTCGTCTCGAGTGATGTTGATTGAACATTATCGAATTAGATAATAATTAGAAATTGGTACATTCGTACTAAAAAAATTTAACGGGCTCACTCTGTTATAGATGCCGAATCTTTCCATTGGCCTGCATATTAAAGAACCGTGAGTGCACTGGTCGTCAGACCGGTCAGTATACCTAAGTTATTGTGTTGATTGACATAATTTTTTCGAGTTGATGGAGGAATAACGCACGCTTTGTTTGCCATTGGCCATTTTTTAGTAACGGTAAAACATTCGTATGGATCTCTCGGTGCGATCGAGGTGTATTACCTGACGCTCACCATTTGAAATGGGAAGTCGACTTTGTATACGAAGTCGGTATCAAATACACCTTTTTTCATTTTGAATTGTCGGGATCGGCGGCTAGAAATTGGGTTGCGCCTTGTGGAATGTTTAACAAGTACATGTGCTGCCGTGGATGCTGAGTAGCAAAGCAACTCGATGGTGTCACAGATGTGTGATCGAGAATAATGAGAGCATAGAAAGACGACGACTGGTCTTGGTTATACACGACAACAATGTCAAATGCAACCGCAGATATAAGTTGACTGAAGACAAGGAGAACGGCTGCGGGCGAGCTCTGCCCACAGTCGAGCGTGCTGAACGACCATTGACTACTTACCTTTGCGTTGTCCAAGTACGGCGGATAACGACCGTGTTTTGCATACCAAATTCCTCCTATCAGTGCAGCTCTGCTGTTCGTCAGTAGGTGAGTAGTAAGTATTCCGTGAGCGCCATCTCGCACCACAACCACAACATGCCGCTCTTTTTTGAGCTGTCCATCAGTGCGAACATCGACCGCAACATACACACTGCGTTGTAAAAGAGATGATCTTCGTTTGTTAATATTTTCCACTGCGGGTCTAGCTTTATATTCCACAACATTCCGTGAAAAGTGAAACCAGGTGGTCGAAGTGTTCGGGCGAAATAGTCAAATAAATGTATTAGTGTTCGGGCGAATTAGTCAGATAAAAGTATTAGTGTTCAAGTAACGCATGGAAGAACAGACTACTTCAGTCAGCTTACCCCCTGCTGTAATTTTTCAATGAGCATTCACAGCGGTCACACTCGAAGATGGGGTACGCCCGGCACGAATTTAGATGCACAATAACATTCCAGACGTCGTCATCGACATATCGACGGTCCTGCGAGCTCTAGCGCATATATAGATTACAGCACTCTCCATATTCTCACAAGTGGTGAGGGGGGTCGCTGATTGTGTAAAAGTTGTTGGAGGTGATGCTGAACACTTGTACATCTTACCATTCGATCACTGCTTCATTACTTGCTGAAAAATTTAAACGCCGGCGTGTCAGCACGTGACTCGAGAAGCGCACGTACACACACAAAGAGTGAAGATACCGAGAAGATCGCTCTCACCTACTGCAGTCACCGATAGCTTTGCCGTTAATTTTGCAATCTCCTCTGGTAGATAACTAAAGGTAGTTTACTGCTTTTCGCATCGACTGTGAGAGGGAAGCCGTAAATTTGCCGCTGGAGTTTCGTTCCTGTGCAGTCCTACAGGTTTATGCACAGCAGCTCAAGCCCGCGCTTGTTTGGTATAGCCCATCTCCATCATAGGCGTGCCAGGGGCACCGGCTCACTACATGTAGTGCCCCAAATTCTCCTGTTTTAAACGCTGACGAGCTCTGGAACCACTTCGGTCGCGCGACCAGCCTGGCGATCGGATCTTCGTTCCCGTGAGCAGCTCTTTGTACAAACAGACGGTCAGCAATGTGCAGACACACGCGCTACAGTGGTTACGTCACTGCGCTTTTTTGTTGGCCTTGTGACGCGTCAAGCTGAGCTTCTTCCTGTCAGCTGTTGGCAGCGCTCACCGCAAGAAGGTCTCGAGACGTGCAAAGGGCACAAAGCGCTGGTCGTGGTCCAAACTGCAATGGGCACTGTGATAGAGACTGAACAAGGGCTGGCTTCGTCGTCAAAGCCGGTCAAGAGCCTCTTCGGATCAGACCTGTTGAATCCGATAGCTGAGCAAAGGTCGAAGACCTCCGCGCGCGTGCTGCTCCACCAGTATCACTTTGCAATTTGACTACCACCACTAGCACCGCCACCGCCACAATCCCAGCATCACGATCCCCGCCATCACTACCGCTGGATCTACGACCGCCACCACCCACAACCACTTTGCATCACTTTCGCTCGGCATTTTCGACGTGAACAAGTAGAACATGCGTTTTGTCTACTCCGCTGCTGCCGCTCTCGTCGCTGTTTTCGCTTCGAGCGACGCGGCTTCAAATGGTGCCGACGCGAACGCTCTGCTCGAGTCCGACGTGTCTGTTGTGGCTCGCGTGACGGACGGCAACGCCTACGACGTGGACACGCAGAGGCTTCTACGCGAGGCTCTTGACGACGATGAGTCGATGCTGCCTGCGGATTTTGAGGAGAGAGCTCCTGGTGGAGCAGTCGTTGAAGAAGCGGCGCCGAAACTCGAAAAGGCCCTCAGTGGTGTACGTCATGCCGGAGAAGTTGGCGGAGGGGCGGGCGCCCGGCTGGCGGAAACGGCTATCGCCAATACTCAACGGATCGAAGAAATCCAAAGAGGAGCTGTCGCCAAAGTGCAACACGTCGAAGAAACCCAAGGAGGAGCTGCCGCTCAAGGGCAACACGTCGAAGAAATCCAGGGAGGCGCTGTTGCCAAAGGGCAGCACGTTGAAGAAACCCATGGAGAGGTTGCCGCTAAAGGGCAACACGTCGAAGAAATCCAGGCGACGACAAAACTCTCTTGGACGAAACGTCAATGGGAGAAGTTTGTGAATTTTCTCAATAAATCGAAGCTCTTCCGAGACTTCATGGCGTGGATCAAGTCGCACAAGGCCAAAGTCAAACCGGTCGGTGAAGGCAAGACTGCAGACGCGAACAATGGCAAGAAACTCGAGGACGCGGTTGAAGACGCCGGAACTGTCGGGACTGCTGGAGCTACTCGCGCTGCTGACCCCGATGGAGCAGCGAACGCCGGTGTTCACCCCTTTGGAGATAAGCTAAAGCCGCGTGCAATGGATGGCGCTGCCAAAGCTGCAGCTGGCAAAGGGGTCGGGCTTCAAATTATAAAGGAGATACTTGTCTTCATCGACGAAACCATTTCCTTTGGTCAAAACATGTTATATGTTGGCCAAAATCACCTCAAGGGGGATATAATTGCAACCTTTGCGCTCGGGTTTGCTGTCGAACAGATGGGAAAGGACCTCTGGAATTTAAAATCATCCTTTCTCGATAACTTTGATGTAGATGACACTAGTGCCATAAAGTCGGCATGGAACTTGTTCGATAAGTGGCGAGGAGGTTTCGTCAAAAATATTGACGAAAATGTGGTAGGGGCTTTCAAGAACGTGGGCGAGAACGTGGAGGTCAACGCTTTGAAACTGGAAGTTAAAGCGTTCGTTGACAAGCTTCAAAAGCTTACGTTGGACGATTTTACGACAATTCTAGGGAAGAATGAATAATACGTGCCCGCAGCTACTGCTACGATGAAGGTGCCTGGAAACGCTCTTTTCTAAGTCGGTTTGAAGCACTTGGGACGCCGTACGATAGCAGGCCAAAGGCTGAGTAGGAAGATACTTCGACCCCCCAAGCCTCCATGGCGTTGGCACGTAAGCGCTGGGCGCGCTGCATTTCTGCCATCCGCTCACAGCGCATGCAGCTTCTAGTACGTGTTTATCGTCGATTGCAATTAGATTGGAATTTGTGAGACTTAAGGTGTCGCTTTGGTTTTACGCTTGACAGTTTAGATGATGCACTGGTCAACGCTAAGACGTAACACATTTCTTTTGACGCTATGTATTTCGCTATGCCCAACAAATGAAGGAATCACGGCTTGCAACTTGCTTCTTGTCCCAGTGTCGCCATGGCCTATACGCGACTGAGAGGGATGTCGCTCAAGTAAGGATTGCCGGCGTCGTCGGTCAAAACAAAGTGTCAGAGAGCAACGTGTTGCCGAAATGCATTGGTTGTCGTCTCCTGTAAAGCACTTGAAATAAGAGGTAAACTTGTTGCGTGTAGCAATCGACTGCACGACTAACATTGGATACGGTTCAAGATGGGATGCAACCACGTGCGCAATGCACTTCCTTCACTCAAGTTAGGCGGCTCTAGACAAAAACTGCTTGTCGCGACAAGTCGATGCATAACATACAGCTCCTGTCACATGAATCGCTACGTCATTGACGTGGCTACTCTTAGTTTACCGCATAGCGATACAGTATGTTTCTTACGGCAGTGCATCAAGTTACTGTGTAGCACTGCTTCATACTTTGCAACATTCGACTCTGTGCTGATCTCGTCCATGATGATCATGCACACGACCATTAACACCTACCGCACGAATACTCTTCAGCCACAAAGCTGCAGCTCAAGGAATATCTGCTCCTCATGACGCAAATACCCTTTTCCTCAGTACCACACGCCACTACTGCAATGCAGCGATCTCGCTTCGCCCCTAAACCTTGTAATGCGCTGCACTCATGCTCTATAAAGGCTTTCAGTGCACAGACTCCAACCAGCCACAATTTCTGTTCTGATCATCCGCGCCTGCTGCGACTATAGCTCGTACAAGTCGAGTAAATGTTTGTAGCATGCCGCGAGAAGTCAATTCCAGTCGTTAACTTGAATTTGATCTATCGGTGGTGAATTTGTAATACATTATGGGATCCACTATTCACCACTCACTTTTCGCTAACCACCACTCACCCCAAATTAAAATACATTGTGCTTGGCCAATTTAATACGAATTAAAAACAGTAATACCGCTCTTACTTAGTACCAACGATTCCTTTTTAGCTGCACAGCCATCGACATTCGAAACACCGCCCACGTCGCCGGCATGGATCGTTACCATGAACATTCTAACACCAGAGATGCTAGTCTCGAAAATGCGCGGGCTGCTCTTAACTCACTTTTTATTGATGAAGGCTATAATATGACTGTTCTGCACACTAGGCAAGTCGGGAATATGAAAGAAGGCGACATTACAGCTGTTACCTTGCTGTAACGGGGCAGCCCGTTACATGGCATTGTCACTTTAAGGAAAGTGACAATAAAGAATATGAAGATGGATATTCTTTAAACAATATCACCAAAGCGGTGATATTGAAGGGTCGACCAGTGAGTGTGTTCATTGGTTGATATCTTGATGATATCAACCCACCAATCGCCGCAAGACGCGCGCAATGAGTGGTGACGAGACGTCACCATACATCCAGTTATATTAGTATAGTTAAGCTAAGTCAAACAGAGAGACAGTAGTTAAAAGACTTAATTATATTAATATAACAGTTCTGCTTTTACCTTACCTACGCTTCCTCGCTTGCCACGTGTACGTCTGTCGGGGCGCCGAAACCCTTGCATTAAGTTCACGCAAGGGTGTGCCCCGTTACACTAACACTGTTCATGCGCACCAAAAGTGACAGCAGCTGCCGCGTAAAACAAACATCTCAACGCGAAATGACGCACCTACTTATCACTTTCCTTTCCGCCAAAGCAATTTGCCGCCGATTTAGCGCAGGGAACCATGGGTTGATCGATTCAACGTATAATAATTGCCTTTTTGGATTGCCTTTGGTGTATGTTGTCGGTGTCACGGCCACGCTTCAAACATGTAGCTTTGCGTAAAATTTATGGCTGGGGAACGTGCAGAAGATTACCTTTGGGCGTTACGGCACATCAAACGTATTTTTTAGAGTTGTTGGTAGTACCAAAGACGTTTGTCACTGATCGTGAACTGGCCTTGATGAACGCGTTGTCAAATGTATTTGTTGACGATGATAGCGTCTGATTTCTTTTGTGTCAGTGGCACATTAGTAAAAAATATTTTTGTCCGACAGCGAAAGACCTTTGCAAGCTTTGCACTTTGGAAAGTTCCTGAAGAGCATTATATAGCTTGGTGCGAACAATAACGGCAGGTAAATACAATCGACATTTGACTAGGGTGAAAGAAATTTTCCTAGCCATGTCATGGTTTATTTGGAAGAGGATGGTTGAAGTACATGGACCGATTCGTAGCAGCGTTTAATTTTGATACACTGCATTTTGGTCATACGACAACTTCGCGCGTTTAAAGCAAGCATGCAGCACTCAAGTCATGGATAACTGTGTCTACGGGAAATTTGTTGACGGTCGAAAGTGCTTGCCAGCTTGCTTGTAATATTCAGCTAGCGAATATTAGACTGCAAATAGGCCGAGAAAGGGCGTCAACAAGTCTCGGCTACGGATTGGTCTTTTCTGCTGTAACCGGCAAGGCCTCTGGTGCAGCTTTGAAGTTTGCGTTTAAAGAGTATAAACTGCGACTTATAACAATTACGGATACAATTCGAACAATGATGTGGAATGTCACAATATGATAATTCCGAACCTTGGGGTGCCGTGTAGGCACAAGTTTCGACCAGAAGCAGCGGAATCAGCAGCAGCAATACCATCAAAACCGCCAAGGGTTTTTGCCTCGAAGATTTTGATTCACACTGGTAGTTGGTACAGCCCCCTCGACAAGAAGGAAATACTAAAGCGCCCACCTCATTTGTAGAAAAAATAAAACTCATTCGAGAAGAATTTGAAGATGGAACTTCGTACAGGCACCGAATGAAACTTGAACATCTTGATGTGATACCTGCTGCAGAGTTCTTCAATCATTTATCCAGCATGGCCGCGGGCGATCTGTTGGTGCTCTCGGTCATCAATCGTTTGTACATTAATCGGTAAGATCTACTCAGCGCCACATACCACAGTTTAAACATGTCAATAATTCATTGCGGCAGGTACGTCGATGCGGTAACTGCGGAGTAGAAGAAAACAACACAAGAAGATCTAAGAATACTCTACCAGATACCGTAGGGACTGCATTGTTACCATCGAACGATCTAGGTACTGAGGACGACTGGAAGCACTTAAAATATCCACCAAACGTATTTGAGTAGTACCTGGACAACATAGCACTTGCATAAAGTCGATGCTTATTCAGATAAAGATTAAAATTAGTATATTTTATGACTACATACGGCTTTGTTAGACGCTTATTTTCTGGATGAAAATGTGACGTCTGAAAGTGGCGACGAGCTCAAGTTAAGTGAAGGCCTCAACTTCAAGCGGTACCAAATTCGTTAAGGTGGTCAGACAATTAATGTTTACAACGCATAATTCTTATATAACAACAATCTTTATAGCACTTGAACATTCTAGCTCGTACGATAACAATAATTTTAGTGCTACAACGACATTTTTCCTCACCTCAGTGCTTTTGTAAAGGGTTGCGTTGCTCAGTGACTCACGTATGTAGCTTTGTTACCATATCTATGGTGTTCCTATCATGAAGTGACTGGTCCGTCCCCGACGATGCGGACTGCGAAGCTTTGGAAGTATACCAGGATGTAGACGGCAAGATACTTGTGTGCCACCAAGCAGGAAAAGTAAAGAAGGGAACAAATCTATTAGTTAGCGTGTCAGTTAATCTTACTTCGTGAATATGTTGCAAAACATAAGAGTCCGTGACTGCAGAGTTCTATTTTCAACGTCACTTAGAATTTCGTGCTTAACTATACAAAATATAAATAAGCAGTTCCAGCAGACCCAATTAAAGATGTTATTGCAAATATATTTATATATCGATGCTTGCGGGTCTTGCCGCGCGGAAGTGCAAGAAGCGTTTTTTACTGCAAAACTTTTTCGAGCGGGTGACAAACTTGAGACTGGGCGTGAGCGTAGATATTTCAAACGAGAAAAAGCAAAATGCTATACAAATGACGTAGGACAGTCTCGATAACACCGAGGAAAGGGCCTCTTTTGCAGTGCCAATATATTCCGACGCACGAGCTCATTGACTGTCCGCATTTGGTTAAAACGCGTCACTGACTTCTAGTGCAATGTATTGTCGGCATGGCTTCACACTTGCCGCCTGTACAACGTTTAATGGAAATGTCGAGGAATCTCCGGTACCCTACTTAAGAAACGCTCCGTAAAATTACTATTTAAACACAGGCAATGTTGTTCATTTACGTCCAACCGAGCAAAACAAAAACCAAAGCAGCAACAAGTTATTTTGAAATCGGTGCGTAGCTGAAAGACTAATTCGTTAATGCTCACCACAACCGATCGCGAATTGTTTGACTTCTTGATCCCGGAAAAGGGCTGATTCGTCCCAAAGCCAAGGACCCAATACCCACTTTGCCAAGAGTCGTTCGTCACAGCAATTTGCTTTACAACCCGCGGACATCCAGTATCTACACCGCCGCTCGTCGCCACAAACGCGCTGTTTAATTTAGTCAAGTTCAGGTTCATGCTGTCTCCACTGCTAGTAAGGATGCTGTCAGTACTCGTATCATACGCACCAAAGACTTCGTCGCCGAACTCGATATTGTACCCTTTCGATCACTCAGCATTGGCGCTAGATCCATCGATCTCGAAACTCATGAGGCTATAGACGATTGCATTGATAAGCTGAATCCGGTTTTCGCATGGC